AAGTGTTTATTCCATCTCACTGTTAATCACAGCAGTTCCAATGAAAACAAAGAGCTACTATTTTTTAATTACAAAATTACAGGCACTCTATAGGGCCAGCAGGAGGCTGAGGCAGGAGGATCACTCCAAGCCTGAGATCAGCCTGGGCTACCTAGCAAGACCCTGTATGAAAGAAAAAAAGTGTACACACACACTCAATTACAGGCAAAGGTCTTAAAAAGAAGAATACCCAGGGCTCCCCAGGCCAGACTGAGGCGCAACACCTCATCAACACTGCCCGCCAGACTGCCCTAGGGCTTGGGGAGGCTGACTGAGGGTCACGTGTGCCCACCCTGCTGCCCAGGGGCCTCCCCCCCGTCCTGGGGGTAGAATCCCCAGGTGCTTTATCCCTAAGCTGCACCCCCAGCCCTTTTTATTTTGAGTCATGGTCTAAGTCACTACACTGCCCAGGCTGGCCTTGACCTTATGATCCTCCTGCCTCAGCCTCCCAAGGAGCTGGGTTCTGGGGTGTGCACCACTGTGGTCGGCTAGGGTTTCCAGGTCTGCTTTAGCCTGCGGGTTGTTATGCAGAGCCGAGCTCTGGGGGCTCCTCCTGCAGGGACGGACGGAAGTCACACACTCGAGCCTGAGCCTGAGCGCACTCAGGATGTGAGGCCTTAATGGGCCATTAGAGCCGCCTGCCGGGCTGGGTTAAATGGCGTGGAAAGGAAAGCGGCCTCGGCCCAGGGCGAGGAAGCGGGAAGCGGAAGGCACCGCCTCGTGACCCCCGCCCGCCCGCATGGGGGCCCCAGCCCTGCAGGCTCGTCCTTCTGCGACATCACACGCGGTGGCCTCCGCCCCGACGGCAGAGGGGCTTTCGCAGCTCCTCTGTGCTTTCATGCGTCTCACCACGACCACCTGACCACCTACTGCGTCAGGGACGAAGAGGTCCAGGGCTGGGCAGCCCAGTGGTGAGCGCTTGCCACGCACACACGAGGCCTGGGTTCCACCGAGCTACAAAAAGTTCTAAGAAATGTCTCTGGTGTCACGTTCTCGGGGAGCCTCTCACTCGGGGCGGGGAGCAGCTCTTTGCGGCCCAGCCCCTGCCTCAGCGCCGGGCCTCCCACCCACAAACTCCCCCTCCGAGGGCGACCGTCTGTCTTTCCTTTCGCTCTTTATGCTTCGGCTTTCTCACCTAGGAGGGACCACATGATATCTAAGCTGATTCGTTCCACTCAACATTACAGTCTCACCCAGGCGGGGTGGCGCACACCTGTAATCCCAGCGCTCAGAGGCTGAGGCAGGAGGATTCCCACGAGTTCGAGGGCAGCCTGAGCTATGTAATGAGTTCATGGACAGTCTGAACTACATAGTGAGACTCTGTCTCAAAAGCACAACAGAAAAATTATGGTCTCCAGGTGTATCCATTTTCCTATAAATGACTATAACTGAGCCGGGCGTGGTGGTGCACACCTATAATGTCAGCGCTTGGGAAGCTGAGGCAGGATGACCGTTGTGAGTTCGAGGCCAGCCTGAAGTGCATAGGGAAACCCTGTTCAAAAACACGACAACAACAAAGAGAGACTATACTCTTCTTTAGGGCACAGTAGTACTCTATGCTGTGAAAATACCGCAAATAGTTTTAATTGAGAAAAATGAAGTCAAACAAAGCAAAGAGCCCCCTGAATGTGTGATTTGTAGGTCCACCCTGCCTCCTGTCCTCTGTCTCACAGGCACTTCAGCCTGGGACTGTCCTGATGACCCAAGGGGACTTACACTCTCCCTGCAGGATCCCGACTTCCGGGGGCTGCCCTCCCTCAGGCAGGCCTAGGGACACCCCTGGGACCACCTTGCCTACCCCCTCTGCGCCCCCTTCTGGCAGGGGGCTGTTGTGCAGCTGGGCGGGGCCAGGGTGTGCAGGGAGGTGTGGGCCCAGGGTGGCTGGCACCGGGAAGAGGAGGTGACACCCACTGCGCCTGGGCCCACAGGCTCGGGGCCCTCAGCTGCCCCGGGAGGGGGAAGGGCACCCAAGGTCCCTGGAGGCCAGAGGGGATGGCAGAGCAGGCTCCTGCATACGCATGGCCTAGCACGGTGCCCGGGGCAGGGGGGGCAAGCCTGGGCGTGGCCCACGGAGGCCCAGCCTGGCCTGTGGGCTGCAGGCCGGCTCCCTGTGAGCCTGGACTCCACCGCCTCCTGGGCCCGGTTCCCTCCGCTGTGGCCAGCACAGGCGTGGGAGCGGTGTCCTCTGAGAGCTGAGCCCTCCCTGCCCAAGCCCCGGGAGGGGGGCACAGCCTGGTCCCCAAATGCCCAAGTGCCTGGGACCTGGGACAGCAGCTCCAGGACTCTGCCCCACCGTCTCCACCCCGCCCTGGCCTGGGCTCAGCTAGGGGGGCGGCTACCCCAGGGGCGCAGGGCTGCGCCAGGCTGGGGGGTCTGGCCCAGCCCCACACTCCCCACGGGACAGAGATAAAGGTACGATGGCGGCAGGCACCCCGAAGCCCCGACCCGCGAGGGGACAGCTAAGTCGTCCAGGCAGAGGGAGTGGTCCACACTGAGAGAGGACCGTGGGTCAGGAAGAGGGCACAGACACAGGGACAGGAGGCCGGGACACGGCACCCGCCGCAGGGACACGGGCCCAAGGCAGGCGAGGGGGCATCGCCCACGGCCCTGCCACACGGAGGTCTGACTCAGGCCGCCAGGCGTGGGACCACGCGGTGACAGCAGCCTCAGCGGCGGATCCGGAAAGCCCAGAGCCGCACCCCGGAGGGACATGGGACAGCCAGCTCCCAGGGCACAGCACAGCTGCGTACAGTTTTGCAAAACAAGGTGTGAAAAAGTTTAGAGAAGACAGGGAAAACATAAATGTGTCGGTTTGGTTTTTCCAATTTTTGAGATTTTCAGTAATTTTCTGATTTCCATAATTTAAAATTTTTATTAAAGCCAGGTATGGTGGTGTATGACAAGACCCAGCACTCTGGGAGGCTGAGGCGGGAGGGTCACAGCCTCAAACCCAACCCAGGCAGCTCTGCTAGATCCTGTCCCAGAAAGGGGGTGAGGGCTGGGGGTGTAGCTTAGTGTAAAAGCCCTGGGCTCAATCCCCAGTACTGCGTATAACAGATCAACAGTTTTATTACAAAAATACTAAGTGCCCCTGCCGCGGCCAGCACCCCCGGGCCAGGCCTGGCCTCTATGCCCCAGTACCTGCTCCTTACCTTCAAGAGCCCAGCAGGAGCCAGGGGAGGCTTCCTCGAGCCCCTGCAGTGCCTGGCATCCCTAATCAGCCCCTGCTTCAGCCTGCCTCAGCCTCCTGCACATTCGGGACAGACTGCAGCCTGTGCCCCAAGCCCCAGGAATGGGGGATCTCCCTCTGAGAAGCCGGACGGGGGGCTCCGCGGGGAGGGGGCCAGTCACCCCAAGCTCAAGCCTGGGTCCCGCCAGCGCAGAGATCCCTGCAGGCCCCCACAAGCCTCCCGCGCCTGGACGGAGAAGGCTCAGCCAGGCTGGGTCCCACGAGGTGGGGAACGGGACCCGGACCGCAGCGCCCCCTGGTGGCCGCTGCTGGCCGTGTGCGACCGGACACTAGGACAAGCGACCCTGGCTACGCGGATCCAGCTCTGCACCGCGGCTGTGGGGTTGCTGCGTGCAACGCGAAGGTCTGGGGGTCCCCGCAGCGCCCCAACAGCACCTCTGTAAGGGGCCTTAGCGCTGCAGATGTCTGAATGGCACCTGCCTTTTCCTCCCTGGCTCTGGGAATGGACCCAGGGTCTCACTGGGCCACACCTGACGCTAAGATGCCTGAACTTGCAGTCCTCCTGCTTCAGCCTCCCTGAGTGCTGGGCCTTCAGCCCCTGGCCATCTCGCCTGCTTCTGCCCCCACGTCCTGCGTCCCCCTCCCTCGGTCACTGTGTCGGGGTCTGCGGCCCTGAGTGCACCCTGCCCCGAGACGCGTACCCAGCCGCCGCCCCTCCCGGGCTGAGCCCACTGGGGCGCCCCAGGGAAGCCCCGCCGGCCGGCCCGGCAGAC